ATTGATTGTGTTTTGTCTTTTAGAAATTGTAAATTTGCTCTCAATGAGCTTTGAAGTTCAATCAGAGTTTTAACACTGACCTTATAATGGGTTGTACATAGGGTTGTGCAGGAATCTGCAGAATCTCCGCGTGAACTGTGTCAAAGAAGAAAGAAAATCGCGAAAGATGTTCACTCTTCCCGCGGCCATGTTTGAAACAGGCGGGAAACCTCGTTTTCATGCTCTCGATCCAGGTTCTGTGGGCCCGGTTTTGTTTTGCCATTTATTTTGTCTTACTTCTTTATTTGTCTTTTTTGTGGTTGTTTCTTTATTTATTTCTTTTTCGTTGTTTGTTTGTTTTTTTGTTTTGGTGTTGATTTTTTCAGTTGCTTTTATTTGGCCTTCTCTGTCACGTCACACAATGCAACCTAAGTGTAACGTTGCGTGACAGAAATAGTCCAGAACTGATCTAGTAGGGTCTACAGGTAAAAACATTCAAAAACAATTCTATCACCTAACTAGGAATCACCTAGGTTCTAGACTACTCCGTTAGCCCCAAAATCATGTCTGACCTAAATACATCAACAGAGCCGTAGCTAGTAACAGGCAAACCGAGCCACTTTCTTCAGTCATTTTTTTTCGTTTTTGTTGTTTATAGTCATCAAAAACACCCCACATGATTCCCAGGAGGAGAATTTAACCATGGACATTGCCTCAGTCACAACTCATTTCTTGGACTCTGCCTCAGTCATGATTGGTTTCTGGCTACGGTCCTGATAAACTTGCCCTGTTACTTTCGCCAGTGATCAACAATTGAAAAACTGTGTTCCTACCGGGGAGAAAAGAGGACGAGGAAAAAAGTCAGAAAAGGCGAAAGGCAGGGAAAATATATTACAGGGGAAAATGCGTAACATTGCATAAACATGTTGCCTTAGTATACGTAAAGACGGCATAACAAGCCGAAAGCCATCAAGCAAGGGGATAGAACTACGAGTGAAAATTACGGGAAGTGAAAAGGAGGGTATCAGTTATCAGTTTGATATGCGGCGATTTCTGAGCTATCAGTTAAAAGGTTAGCCATGTCTCAGCTCAGCTGTCAGTGACTGAATTTTTCAGTTCGAAGATCTCAGCTATAAGTTGAGAAACGCGTCTTTTCTCAACTGAAGCGGTAAAACTTTGACCAATACTAGTTTTCAGCTATCCGTTAAAACTTCAAAATAGACCTCATACCCCGGGACAGGCCTGATCACCCCCTCCCCCATCTTCATCCCCTTCACCCTCCCCAGAACAAACAAACGCCAGCCACTGCGTTAACATCAGTCATGGATTTCAAGTTGTACGAAAGAATTACTAAATTAAAGGACCATGATTTCGCACAGGCATTTCAGTGTGGAATGCAAAAATTGTTCTAAGTTGCGGAAATAATCCAAGAAAAACGATGGCGACTGATACACTTACCCATAATTCTTGGCGCACGAAAACTTTAACAACGCTCATAAAAACGGGCAGAAAAGTTTTAACATCTTCAAACCTAGAATACACATAGCCTACGTGTAGCCGTACCCATCCCCCGAGGAAAAACGGGAGGGAGGGAACGTCTACGAGGAGCTGGCGCGAATTGTGTTATGTGACGTCACGCTTTTGCATGGAAATATATAATGGTTCCTTATTGGATAAAGACCGCGAGCAA